TGATATTTACACCAATTTGAAAGAGGAGCTGTGTGGTGTTTTCAGGTTAAAATCTCCGCTTGTCTATAATGTTTTCCTTCATGCCATTATTCCTCCCTGACAGGTGAGGGGAGGTTTTGACACTGTTAATATAACACAGGGTGTTAATCTTATAATCGCCCTGTCAGCACTTCGTGTCAGGGTGTTAATGGCCACCTTTCAGCCACTCAGGCTCTCCTGCCAATAAAAACACTGCCGGTTCCCATCCAACCAGCAGCTCTGCAGCTACTCTGCCCTTTCCCCTAAGAATAAATACAACATTTCACTAGCCATGTGGCTGTAGAAGATGCTCCTCTGTGTTTATTTCCTCTTCCTTCTCTGCACCCGTTGGCACACAAAGCAACTTTGACACTGAGGACTTTTAATGCACTTTGCAGGTTTCATGTTATTTTAAAATATGCCAATTAGGTTTTTTTTAAAATAAACATAACACCTTGGACAGAATGAAATGAGTTGTTTTGGTTTTTTTTTTTAACACTGAGAAGCACAATTATTTGTCACAGCACTTCACTATGTAAATGTAACCCAATGCTGTATTTCTGTAATTTCTCAGTGGCTGTGACGAGTCCGTATTTTTCTCTCTGCACAGGAGAGAGGCTTTTCCAGCTTCCTGGCAGAAGGAGTTGCACAATTCCAGATGACTTACTTTATATGCCTAGAGGAGCTTTATTACACAAAGGGAGACAAAGAGAGGAAGAGGGAGAGAGCACACACTCAGAATAATAAACAAAGAAGAATAAACATTCCATAGGGATTCCAGATGCTGCTCCATCCCTCTGCAAGGCCTGCCTGCCTCCCCACACCTTAATGAATATTAAATACAAGTTAACATTCAGCAAGGCATGGGGAGGCCAGAGCTGTGGTGAAACCTCACAGTGCAGCCAGTTTGCTGCTCTCACTATCTGGTGTTTGGATTTTTACTTAATTTCTTATAGATTTCCTTTAATCAACATGACGTGGCTGATTGGCCAGGGCTGGTTCCAGCATCGTGTGCTGTCCATCTGGATTTTATACTCCTTGTGTTTTCCCAGCTGAAAAGAAACAGACATACTTCCCAACTCATTAGAACCCAGTCCCCAAAAAAGTAATAGTTTGTTCCTAGACAAAAAATTTGCCTCTCATGTGGGATTTAAAAAAAAAAAAAAAAAAAAAAAGAAGCAAAACATAAACAATCACATTAGTAATTATTAGTTTCCATGTCATACCCAGCCAAAGATGCAGTCAAAATTATTTCTGTATTAAAAAATCAGGATTTACTTTGTCTTTGCTTGTTGTAATTTGTAGTAAGCACAAATGCTGGAATTCCTATTATCTGGGATGCACAGAGACGTTCATTATATCACTACTTCCATAGCATTTCACATGCTTTGCAACAGCAAAACAAATGTGAAAGGTCAGACACTTAGAACAGAAAAATATACTCTGTATCTTGTTGTGATCAGGCATTAATATAGGAAATATATAACATTTTTGCAAAGAAAATTATATTGAATTGGATGATTGGATTATTTAGAATTGGATTCTAAATGTAAGAGGGTGTAAGAGGATCTATCATTGACTCCAAGAAAAGTCCAATCAGCCAAGCAGCCTTCACCTCATCCAAGCCAACACAGCCCTTGCCAGTCCTTTTAACAACTTATTTAACATTTGGTAATTAATGCAGTCTGGTTGTCCCAGAACCTGTCCTGGTTCTGCAAAGTTACTCATTCCTCATTCCTGATATTCTAAATCACTGTGGAATTGCAGCTAAATCAAAGAGAAGGTTTAAAGAGCACTTTATTATGCATTTTATACTTCAAAATACATGCACTACCCGGGGGATATAGAAAGTATTTAAAAGAGGCCGTCTGTCTCTAATAAAAGTGATTGACTAGTTTATGCCACACTGCTTCCCTTTTTATTTTACCTGTTACCAGGGACTCAAAAATACCTGTCCTCGGTGGAAGGGGGGAATGTCACCACCAGCAACCAGATCACTGGTTCAGCAGTTTGGCTGGTGGACAGATTCAGACCTGCGCGTGGATGGAATGGTGTGTGAGAGCAATGTGAGTGAGGGGAAAGAAAGGGAAAGAAAAGCCCTTCCACCTGCAAATCCCAGAGGATCCTAAACTGGTCACTGCCTGCCAGGCAATTTCACATCCCAGTCATTAGCTGTGCAGGAATTTCAGAGTTTCATGTGCTGGTGAGGCTGAGTGGGTCACTGTAGTTCAAAACAAAGAGGTCCAAGATTCCTGTCCAAACAGCTGTGCTTCATATTTGAATTTTAGCCTTGTGCACTGTAAAAAACCTCAGGCCCAGTGCTCCCTGAGGAAGTCTTGCTTAAGTTTTGCTCTCACTTGGTGGAGCATAGAGAAAGCAAAAGGTCCACACTTCAGCTGACCTTGGAACACTGAGAGTAGATGGTCAAGTCCCCCTTATATATCTGTGTATATTTAACTGCTGTGAACAGTAATGGGACAAACAGCTGCAGAGTGAGGAGCAGCTACAACCCTAAAGAAAGCAAATTAGAAGGAGCCAAGAACAAACAAACTGGGCTACATATTAGAATTTTGCCAATGCAATAGCTGTTCCAGAATTACTTTATAGGTTAAGCCAACTTCTCCATCTGCAGTGGGATTTCATCTTCCCACCAGAACTTAGCTACCTACCAGCTTTTTGGTGCTTTAGCTTCAATAAGCAAAGCAAGAACTCCAAGAACTCTTAACACAAAATGGAAGCAGCTGCAGGATGGTAAAGGAAACCTCTTGGGAATGTTGTGACAGGCACAGTGCTTACAGACTGCAGAGATGTGAGAAGGAGGGAATGCTCTTCAGATTTGTGATTTCTTCTGCCTGGTGGGAAAGTGGTTTCGGAAGAGCGAGAAATTCATATGAACTTGATTTGATATTTCTGAGGACAGAAGCTATTTATTGACAGCCAGGGTGGTGCTAACATCAATGTTCCCCCTTGCATTTCATTGCTGGTGTACACAGAATGCTTCTTGGGAAGAAACAACTTCCCTTCTTGTCTTTAAAACATTGGCTGTTCCTGAGCTTTTGACTAGGAGTTATTTTGGATTAATTTTCTGGAGATGCTAAGATTCTGTCAGTAAAATTTGGACTGAGACCACTGAAGCAATTTTCACAAGCTTGGATATAGACTGGATATAGACTGGATAAGACTGGATATAGCAGTCACCTGGTCTTACTTTTCAGCTGCCACCAGCCTGCCTTTGCTAAATGGAGGGCTGGAGCCTTCAGCATCAGCTGAGAGATTCAGCCACAGGATGATTAATAGAGAGTGCACAGTCAATTCCCTCATGACTCTACAAAAACTGTAGGCAGACCTTCAGCAGCCCATCAATAATATTTTGAGCCATCCAGGCTCCTCAGATTCCCCACACTGATTGTCAGATCAGTGTGAGAAACACAGGGGTCAGAGCGGAATACGTGCACTTGACTGAGTTACTGCTGTGAGTCCTGTGAGCTGCAGGAATCTATTCCATGAAAGACTTTCCAGGAAGGTAGGAGAAAGCTGTCTTCTGTTTCTCTGACAGAAAGGTGATTGTAAAGAGGAAGATATTCAACCCAATAGAGACCTACAGAAATAAAAATAAACAAAAGGAAAACTGGCTGTTTCTTAGAGACTCTGTGGCTGGTCACATACTTCCAAAACCATATGAAAGCTGCCACATTTATGTATGAGCTTAGCAGAGAGGAAAAACCCACCATAAAAGAGGAAACAGAGCAACTGTGTGACCTCAATAAAGCCAGCCAAGTGTCTGTTTTATCTCCAGTAATGTGGCAGGAGACATGAGCAGGTTTACAGGCTATGTATTGTCTCTCTGGGAAAATGGGGATCCTAACTACTGTTATATTTGGAAAAGACACTGCAGATGCTTCTTAGTCACTTAAATTTCCCTGATTTTATCAAGTTATCTTCTCCAGACCTTAGGTGGAAATGCTGGTCACAGCTAATTCTGTTTCAGTATCTAGGTAGCCATAGGAAGCAAATCAAAGAGCAAGCACCAGAAGTGTGGCCTCCGTATTTCAGGCAGGTGCTGGCTGGCATTGCTTGTGATACAGCCTCCCTCTGGTAGGAAACACGTATAAAAGTAAATTATTTGATTGCAAAAAACCTTTGTGGAGATAATTTAAAACAAAGAAGTACCCAGCATCCAGGATGCTGAAACTCCTCAAAGGAACAGCAGTTCAGCAGGCATAAATGGACACACACAGTCCTTGGTGCTGTTCCTAAAGGCTTTTAAAATTAATTTGCTTCTTTAAGAGAATATTGTCTTCTGAGCTACTATAACTTGGAGAAGGGGGAACTAGTTCCAACTTTGTCAAGCTCTGTAAAAATGAAAAGGTCAGCCATTCCCTCTTCTTCCCACTCGTCTTCCCACTCTTCTTCCTGACATTCTGTCATTCTTCTGTTGTACTGGTTTGGTCATGCTCATGAAACAAATCATAACAAGGTAATACTCATAATTTTTGAGCTATTTGGAATGATTTCTGCTGTTTGGTTTCCCCACATAAACACTTTGTTATGTGGAACTGATCATTTTAAGTCATGCTGAAGTTTGAGGCTTGTTGAATGCATGGTTGTGATGATGCTGTTAATTCCAACATTAATAAATGTGTGTACATGTAGGGAAGCAGAAATGTCTTTGTTTATCCACTGTCAATGAGAACAGAACTTAACTCACCTGAATTTTTGTGAATTCTCATATTTAATCCATTCAATTACATGATCACACAGCTTTTAAAAAATATTCACTCTCTTCTGGCTCTGGCTCTCACCATCTGTTATTCCTCTAAAATTGGCTTTTATATGCTGAATAAATGACCTTCTGTTTTCCTTATTCATATGCCATGTTATGAAAAATCTATAAACACAAGGCTTCTCACTAATTATTAAATTGCCACCATTTATTATATGGAAATATTTATTTTATTTATTCAAACAGCTTTTTTTCCCCTCTTAATTCAAGATAGTCCACACCTTTGAACAGCAGCTGCCTGGACAGATAATGTAATAGATTAAACTTCCTTTTGGTAGAGCAGGAAGAATATCTTTAAATTATTTAAAGTGCTGTCACTTCAGAGAAATGGATTTTCCCATTATGAGCTTGCTCAGTGTCTCAAACAATGTCACAAGCAATTTTGATCAGAACAACTGCATGATTAAAATAATAAAACAGAACTCACACAGAGTGCAATATCACAGCAATTACTAGAACATCCTTTCAAAGTCATTGATGCATCCTGAATTGTATCAGTGATAAACTGGTATTTTGAAGGAGTCCAAAACTTTACCCAATGCAGAGAAGCTGGTCAGTGTGGAGAAAAGAGTGGCCATGGGAAAACTGAAGGCCTCTGCAGAGAAATAAGTTCCTGGTGGTTTCCTTCCATCTTTATGAAAAATACTAGTTTCCAAACAGAGCTGAACTGAGATTTCAGGCCTGCTTTTACTCTGTGTGACTAACAGAGGGGAAACTGTCTCAGCACTGGAAAAATAATGATGGTCCTGTTATTCTAAAGGATATAACCACTGGCCTGGGAAGAGTAGCAGTTTCAGAGTGGCCAGCAGCATGTGCATACTGGCACTTTGCTTTTCCTGTTTATTTACATAAATATTCACTGAGTGTTGATTTGTAAAACTTCAGCTGGCACTTCCTCTTCACCCTAAAATTTTATCAGCTTCAGTGAGTGCATTACAGGATGCCAGCTCAGGCTTAAGGTCCTGAATCATGCATTGCGTATTTCTTTCTATCTGAATGAAAGCCTGCTAGCACACTTTCCGATCCAACACCAGGCCTCTGGTGAATATTTATATTGGAAGTCAAAATCTAAAAAGACAAGGCTGTTTTGGAAATTCTGGTCTTAGTGACACAACGATTCATCACTTCTGTGCAGTTTTGGAGCTCTCAAAACAAACATCGCACAATGAAGTCTGAATCAAAGCAAGTAGCCAAAGTTAGTGGTGGTGTTTTCCTTCCTACACTTTCTGCCAGTCTCAGTGAAGGATGTTTATTACAGACTTTTACAAATTATATGTTAACATAAACCCAAGTTAAGTCCTTGTCTGGAACAAACTCTTGTACTACTAGTATGAAGTTGTCTAAAAATACAGCTTGGAAAAGGGTATGACTTGAAATAAATAGAGTAATTTCAAGGGTAATTTGGGTTGCTATGCCTTCAACACACAACTGAGAAATCTGTGATTGCTGAGCAGATTGGGTTTCTGGCTATTCTTTAATGTGTTTATATTTGCTGAAACAGCCCTTGGAAATACTGTTAGGACTGTGTTGAGGATTAAGTTTATTAGTGCTGCTTGTTTCTTGGTAGGAGATGGATAAGGCCATTATGAGTCCATCATTTTATAACGCTTACAAATCACATGCCCAAAAAAGTGCCTCTAGTACCAGATAAACAGAAGACCAGTCCCACCCTCTGGAACAGCTTCCATATTTACTGTTGCTTGAAAGTCTTCCTGAAGCATCTTCTCTGACCTTTCAGTCACCCTAAGGAAAACCATGAGCATGTGAATGCAAAACGTGATATATCCCTGACAATTTCCATGCTCTGTCTCTCCTCACAGCTAAGACATTGAAGAAATTTTGAAAAATAAAAACAAAGTAATTTACATTTTACTGAAGGGAATAGGTTATGGAACTATGTCAAACAGAACACTGCAGCAGAATAAAGCCTGCCAGTAAATTTAACTATTTCTAGAGTTTTATTGCTCATTGTAATTAGTAACATCTTTAGTTAGAACACCATTTGGATATTATTAAAATAAATGAAAACGATCTTGGCCCATCCTTAAGGATCTTTTTCAGACAAACTGTTTTTGTCACTCAGCTCACTAATGCATCATTTTTATCATAGAGTATCACATTACATGCATTCAACGGCTTAGCAACATCCAATGTCCTGTGGAGGTGAAAATAAAACTGCACAGATTCATCACTGCTCTGAAAATTACTCAAATGCCTGTGAACTGTATCTTCACTTAGCAAAGACTTACCAGCCAGTATTTTCTCAACAGCCAGTCTCCAAGCTCATGCTGTGAACCTGAACCTTCTGGAACCCAAGGCATCCTCAGATGGAGCTTTGTCTTCACTTGGGTACTTGGGTTGCAACATCTCTATGTTTTTATTGCTGTGGAGCAACAAGAGGGACTCAAATTAAGTCTGACCCTGAATAATTTAAAGTATTAATTCAAATTAATCTATTTTGTCACTGAAATGGGCTACAAGCATTCAGCAGGGTGAACACCTTCTCAAATTGCCCCTCTAGACCCACCAATGGACATCCGACTGCATGTTCATTAAGGCTCTTCCATATTGGCTAATTACCTCTTCCAAAGCCAAGAACTTCAGCTGTTGGGTTCTTTTCATATCACTTCTCCAGAAGTTCTAATTCACCTTAAATTAATTTCATCCTTAATGCAGCCAAAAAACTAAATTACTTCCTTTCACAGGCATTGCCAAATGATCTTCCAAAGCACACAAATACTCTCTGAATTATAGTTAAGGTCACTTAGCAAACAATACATTTCAGCATGTTACAAATGCATACCCAAAGGATCATTTCTGTTATTGAACACACCAGTTCAATTTTTGATTAAAAAATTGTATGCTTATTAAACAGTTTTGAAGATAACAACAAGTGAGCAAAACAAAATGTTGACAAAAGACAGTATTTTTTCCCCCTGTTTACATGGAGAAAGGAATTTGAGTAAAGAATTTTTGCTTCTTCCTCCATAGAATAACACCAGGAAATCTCTGTGGCAGGATCTTTGTGATCTTTTTCAGTTTGTTTCCTCCATAAATATTTCCTCCCATAGAAGGTAAGTGGGAGAAAGAACAAGTTAGAATAACTCCCTCAAGCATCCTCTGAGCAGGACTGTTACTTGTTTCTAGGGGTTGGACTTCTTGTTTTGTTTTGACTTTTTAAGTTCAATGCATAAGTGAGAAGCCCAAGCAGATTTACTGAGCAGTCTGTGCCCTCGGGAAACACGGATCTGCATGAACTTCTCAGTCACTTCCAGGTTTTGTCAGTAGGGCTGAAAAGTCATGGTTCCACCATCACTGTCTTAAAAATTTTAAACTGGGTAAAGTGAAGATCTACTTACAAAAATAAGTCCTGAAATGGCAGAAATATTTGATGTTTTGCCCTATATACTGAGACAGTTTACTTCATGGTATGCAAATATATTTGTGGGTCTCTGGCTGGATATTCTCTCTATATGTATGTGGCTGTGTTTGAATACTTATGGCACTGATTTACTGGATTGCCACAGAAATCCTGGCAGTTTCTCAGGTTGCCACAGAAATCCTGGCAGTTTCTCAGGTACCAACATTCTCAGGTCCACACTCAGGTGAATGCTTTGAATATTGGCCTGAGATTTCCTTTAGCCAGTTTAGAGATGTTTAATTCACAGCAGAGAAACCTAGAGTTAAATGCTTCACTCTCAGGAATACAGCTGACATCTTGCTGGTTTTCCCTGGAAGACTTCAGCCTGCTGCTCTCCAGTGACTCTAATCTGATTTAGCTCTTCCCCTCCATTCATTAAGGAAGAGATTTTTGCTTGCAGCAAGAATCCCTGCTAGCTGGCTGGATGCCTCTAAGTGAGGGGTGGTGCTAGCCAGAAATGTGCTCTCTGCAGATTTAGCCCTGCACTACTTCCATATTGAGCTGACCTCCTCAAATATCAACTGATGACATTGTAGTTAATTAAAATTGGCTTTCACTTAACATTCTTTAAGGTCATTTTAAGTTATGAGGATGCAGGTACAAATAACAACCAGCTCAGTTCAGGAAAGAGGTGGTTTCCACTGAAAAGAAAGTTAAATAACTATTATCCACACCAAACACATTTTCTTCTTTCTGTGCAGTAAATATTCTACTTTTTTACTTCTGCATGTTTGTTCTGTCACTCTAGCAAAAGAATACTGTTGTTATTTTGATATTTTTGTGTACAATATATTATTTTAAGAGAACAGAAACGACTTGTTATATAGGACAAAACTCAAAGTTTTATTTGAAAATGGCTGTATTTGAAGTGGCTTAAAGTCTAGAATGTGTTTTGGATATGCAAATGTTTTATGCTTAACTTCATAATTTCCAGCTGAAAGAAACACTTTTATTGTGCAAAGATTAAACACAATCAGTGCCACACTTAAATTTCTTCAAATAACTTGGAAAATTGTGTGCATCAGCATCACATCTGTACTTCAAATTGCCTTTCAGATGATGCACTTGAAAATTATTTTAACTTGTGAATAGCTTGAATTTTTCTGATCTTAAAATTCCTAGACTCTGATAATGTACTCATGTGTATCCATCACAATCTTATCCATTAAATGAAATAAAAAAATTAGCTTGTGTTCTTTGGAGCTTATCTTTCTTTTAATAAAGGATCTTTTGAGGGTGCAAAGACATTCAATAGGGTCCCTTGAAACAGGCAGTAAAAGACCAAGGTCTAAATATTTACTCCTTTTACTTTTCTTCATGTAAGAAAAAATATGCCAGGGTGATGCTTTGCTTATGTTTGACAAGCTCTCTGATGGCAGAATTGGCTTCCAGAAGCCAAATACCTTCTTGAAATATTTCTTGGCATTTTTCTCTGATCAGTAATTACATACCTGCCGATAACAGGAGGAAATGTTTTGTGCCTGAAGATAGCTGAGGTCTCAGATTCTTACAGTTTCCATAATAATTTCCTTCCTGTACTTGACTCTATTCTGTTCCAAACCAAGGTTTTTAGCAATGAAAGGATATGTCAGCTTCTGGACAAATGCCACCTGATCGTGTATGGCATAATCTTATGAATAGAACAGAACGATGAGTATTTGGGCAGTCATTGAAGCATTGATTATGCAATGCAAAATATGAGATTTTCAGCTCTTTTTAATTCCTCAGAAACAACCCAGATAAAAAGCAGCCCAGTATAAAAACTTCTTCCCAGATTGTGTTTCTAATTTTTAAAAATAATAGTAATTCAGACTATTTGGGGTTTTTTTCCACAGCATTAAAGACAGGATATAATATTCAGTCTAATATTTAGTATAGATAACTCTGAGATTTCTTATGTTCTTTTTCCTGCACTTTTCCTAGAATGTAATAAAAGTTTGGGGCCATTGCTTAGTGTGTAATTTGGACTCCTAAAAACTGCTTAGTTTTCCATAAATACCAACCCTCTGAAGGTTCTTAGTGTACTCCTGAGCATCAGCTTTCTCTGCCAGGTCCTCTGTGTCTCTCTTTTCCAGGAATGTAACTTTTCAAGCATTTGTGTTTTCATATCTTCACTTTAATCTCCTGTGCTTTAGTTGTAAAAGTACAACAACATTGCCACTTCCACCAAACACTTTTAGAATCACAGGCAAAGAAAATACGAGTGGAAAGGATGAATCCGCAGCTGGTGATCTTTTCTTTCTGCCTTCTGGCAAGAAATCCTCTTACTCAAACTGAGAAAGTGCCTGCTTACACAACAGGGCTCATGAGCAGACTTCTTAAAAACACTACTGTATGCCAAATGTGTCAAAAATAATTTTGTTTTCATCTAATTTCCACTTGATATTTTTTTTCTAGATGGCCTACCAAAAAAAACAATCCTCAAACAATCAAATAAAAATCCACAAACTAGCCTCTTGTATTCTGTTTTGGGGCTGAGGGGCAGAAATTTCAGGGATTTTTTCCAGCATTGGAAAGAAGGCACTTAAGAAGGTTGGCACTTAAGAAGGCTGGTGTTAAGGGTGGGATTCCAGAAGCAGTCAGTACTGGCCTAATGTATCTGTGTGTATAAAAAAATATTTATTGACAAAAAAATTAAGGTCTTTCCTGAAAATCTCTGGGTTTTTATTCATATTCCATTACTTTTTTTCTTTCAGCCATGAGGGACATGACCTGGTACTCTTAACCACCCCAATACACCCCTCTTAGGGAGGCAGCAGGCCCTCAGATGAGTTTAACAGAGTGGTTTTCTGGCCATGAAACACAGGTGTTTAAATAACATCCTTAGATGAATCCTCAGCACAGTTAGGTTCTTGTATTTCTGGATATTGATGATGAATAGGATGGACACAGGCCCACCCCACACACATCTGGCCTCTGGGAGAGACAGCTTTAAACTGTCAGATTAATTGGCCAGAGAATAAAGTTGGTGTAAATATCTACCTATTTTCTCATCTGAGCTACATCACATTAACCAGCAGCAGAAAAGATGTAGCCTTCAATTTCTGAGCTTCTGCCACAGACAGCGCAGCAGTCAGAAGGGTAAGGGTAAAACTGACTGGCTGGAATAACACCAGGGTGTCACTACAATAAAATATTCACTCACCCCCACTGTCTCCTTATCCCTCCTTCCTCTCCATGCCATGCCTACAAATAACAAATTGGTGGGATTTCAGAGAAAATAATAACACTTGCATTTCCAGAGCAGACAGGGGGAAATCTTTAGAGTGTAGTAGACAAAATGCTTGATGAATGCTGACCTCGGTGAACAATCTAGGAGTTCAACAAGGGATGTTACCCGCAGCTGCTGCCAAAATGTATCAAGAAAGGGTCTACAATTTGCTGAGATGCATCTGTTATGCAAAATAGAGAATTTATGTAAAGAACCAAAATGCAATATTAAGCCAGGCATATATTAAAACTTAAGGGCAGCATGAAAGTTTAAAAGTTTCCATTCTGAACTTTGGAAAACATTCTTTTGAATATCTACCCCAGATGTCAGTTTATCTCAAGAGTATCCATAATACTACAAAGTGTGAGCACAATTTCTGAACAAAATTCTCAATTTGCTTCAGATAGTGGCATCCTTGGAGGAAAGAAAGAATTTAATTAAATCCTATACAACATTTCTATTCATAAACTTGTCCAAGCAAAACAAGCCATAAATCAATTATGGTTTATTTATTAACTCTTGCAATATGGGTGGTAAACACATATATAAAAAAAAAAAAAAAATTAACTTGCAAACCAAAGCATTATAGCTGGAGATTAATGAAATTTCTTGATGAATACTAAATTGACTGAAAAATGAAACCTTGGACTTACTAAATCCCTTTGCAAACTCTGATCAGCTTCAGTGAGTAGCTTTGTTCCCAAAATGGGTGAGCAAACTACTTTGCTTTGAAGTGGAAATAAGTAAATAA